ACATGCTTTTCCTGCATCTCGTGAAATTGTATGCCTTGTTCCTCCATTAATAATATGGTAAATTACACTGGATGATTTTTTAAAATGTTACACCAACATTCTTAAGCTAAATGCAACTTGGACATGATTTATTATTATGTTATTAATGATTTTTTTTGGTTCTTATATTTATGAGGAATGTTGCCTCTTTTCTTTTGTGGATAAAGTCTTTAATTTTTAAGAATTATTTTATTTAACATTTATTTATTTATTTAATATTTTAAATTTATTTATTTTGATTTGACCAGAGAGGGAGAGAGCGAGAGAGAGAAAGAGGGCAATTGGGAAAGCAAGCCACCAGGTCCAGGACTCGAACGGCAGTCAGCCATATGAGAGTTCACTACCCTCAACCACCACGCTACCTACCGCTCCCTAAAATGTCTTTATCGAGTTTTATGCTTGTGCCATAAAAACATAGGGAATACAACATAAAGAGCGAACCCTAAGGTAAACCATGAACTTTGGGTGATTATGCAATGTCAATATAGGTTCATCAACTATAACAAATGTACCATTCTGGTGTAGGATGTTGATAATAGAGAGAAGTTCTACATGTGTTCAGGTAGGGGTATAGGGAAAATCTCTATACCTCCTTCCCAATTTTTTTTTTTAATTGCTAGCAAGTGTGTGTACTTACTAGAGAGGAGGATAGGATAAAAGCACCCTCTCCCCAGTTGAGATGCTGTTAGCTACAATCCCTTCTCCTTCATTTTTCCATCCTGTTGGGACTTTGTACACATATGAACACATGCCTGGCATGTTTTTCAAGCTGCTGGGACTGGGATTCAAACCACAGTTGGCCATGTGGGTTCTGGTTCCCTTAACAACTAGGCTATGTGGCTGGAGCTTCCTCCCAATTTTTTCAGAAGTCTTCCAAAAGTAGCAAAGTCTTTTTTCTTCATTTTATACTAGAGAGTACATGAGAGAAAGAAAGAAAGCAAGCAAGCACCCCTCAATGAGGCCTGGTCACACCACAATCCTTTTTCCTCCAATTCTCCATCCCATCAAGACCATGGGCACACACACACATTTGCACCCAAAGTGAAACTGACAGGGCCAGGACTTGAACCCTGGTCAGGCATGTGGGATCTAGCTTCCTCTGTGCAGGATCTGCACTACAGGGCCAGTACCTTTCCCTGATTTTGCTGTAAATCCAAAACTGCTCTGAAAATATAAAGTCTTTGGAAAAAGAAACAAAAAAAAATTTGTTCACAAAAACTGGAAGCATTCTCCCCTCCTGTTTTCTCCAAGAGTTTGTATAAGATTAGAAATTTTTTGTACTAAAATGTTTAGTAGAATTCACCCACCAGTAAAAACACCTGAGTCTAGAGTTTTCTTCTGGGTGAATTTCTGATAATGAATTCGATTTCTTTAGTAGATATATAGCTATTAACATTTCTTTTTTTTAAAGAGAGGTTTTTGCTGTAGGCACAAGTGCTTGCTGGAGAGACACAGAGAGACAGACAGAAAGCAAGAAATCACCACTGTCCCCAGTGCAGGATGGCCATGCCACAATCCCTTTTCCATTCTCCTCTCGGGATTTTGGGCACATGTGCATATGTACTCAGTGTGTTTCAAGCTGTCAGGTCCAGGACTTGAACCACGGTCAGCCATGTGGCAGTTCAGCAACATATCCACTAAGCCAACTGCTGGTCCCCAACATTTCCTATTTTATCTTATTTTCAGTCTGGTAGTTATATTTCCCCAAAAAATTGTCACATTTTTCGAAAGTGTTGAGTTTATTGACATAAAGATGTTCATCACACTCCCTTATTATCATTTTAATGGACAACTCATTTTTTATTTCTGGTGGTAAGTAATCTGAGTTCTTTCTCTTTTTTCTTCATTTAGTCTACCTTGGAGTTTATTGATTTTGTTTATCTTTTTTAAATTTGTGGCTCTGTTAACTTTCTGCTATTTCTGTTTTCTATTACAGTGACTTTCCTTTCTTCTACTTGCTTTGTTTTTACTTTGTTCTTTTATTTCTTAAGGTGGAATTTTAGGTCACTGATTTTTAGATCTTTGTCTTATATTAGCATTTAAAGCTATAAGATCCCTTCTAAGCACTGCTTTAACCATTGCACAATAAAGAATTTGGCCTTGCCCAGAGAGGTTTGACTTTGTTAAAAATTATATTTTATTTAACTTTATTTACTTATTTATTTATTTGTTTATTACAATTTGACCAGAGAGGAAAGGAATGAGAGAGAGTGAGAGAAAGTGAGAAAGCAAGCTGCCAGGTCCTGGACTCGAACCATGGTCGGCCATGTGGGAATCCAGCACCCCTAACCACCATGCCACCTGCTGACCCGAGGTTTGACTTTTTATTAGGCTCCTGGGAGTTAGCTTCTAAAACCCTAAAGCATACCAAGTAAATTACAATGTCTTTATTATTTATGATGAGTCCTTTAGAGCATACCTAAGAGTTTGTGGATGTACCACCATTTCTCATCTACTTGGTCCTCTGTTTCAATAAACTCCCTTAAACAGGGTAATTCCTATAGCCCTTGAATCAATTAGCTGAAGTTCGTCTGTCGGATTACCAGTATGTGATATTTCCTAGCAAACACTAAGGCAAAAATCAAGTGGGGCCAGCAGGTGGCTTAGTGGTTAAAGTACTGGACTGCCAGTTGGTGACTGTGGTTTGAGTTCTGGACCTGGTAGCTTGAAACTCAAGCGTGGTGGGAACCAGCAGTTAGTGTAATGGCTATGTCGCTGGACTCCCACATAGTCGACCATGGTTCGCGTCCCGGACCCAGTGGCTTAAAACTCATGCCGGGCGTGTGTGCGTGCCCAAGATCTCAAGAGGAGAATGGAGGAGAAGGGACTGCAGCGTGACCATCCTCCCTGGGGGGTGATTTCTCGCTTTCTGTCTCTATGTCTCTCTCTGTCTGGCGAGCGCACGCACCCTATAGTGAAAAACTCTCAAAAAAAAAAAAAAACAAACAAACAAACAAAAAAAAAAACTCAAGCATGGCACATGTGCATGTATACCCAAAATCCCAAGAGGACAATGGAAGAGAAGGGATTGTGGCATGGCCATCCCACTTAGGGGTAATTTTTCACTTTCTGTCTTGCTGGTGAGCAAAAGCACTTTATAGCAAAAATCTCTCAAAATTAAAACAAAAATTAAGCTTAAGGACTCATATTTTATGAACCCAAAGGACCCAGTGACTTTCATCACAAAACTGCATATCATGTTACCAAAGCACAAAATCTGGTACTTGACAATCCATTTGTAGAAATCAGTAGGTTATTTTAAATGCAGATCAGGTGAAACACATGCCTGGCATGTTTTAGTATTAAACAATGAAAATAGACACTGTGTTATAATCTATAAATGAAATACAAAAATACTAAGCTTAATACACATTTCAATCAAAATTTAAGTATTTAGGCTAGGTAACATTATTTAGATAGAATTGATACATTTCCTAATTAAGTCCAATGAGATTTTAAAATGTTACACCCTCAGATAATTCTTTAAAAAATAAGGTGTTCTCAGGCAAGCCAATGGCATGGTGGTTAAGGTGGGTCTCACCTGGCTGACTGTGTAGTTCAACTCCTGGACCTGGTGGCATGAGAAACATACCATGCATGCATCCACACATGCCCAAAGTTCCAAAAGGAGGGAGAAATGGAGAAGGGATTGTGGTATGACTGGCCCCCATACTGGGGGCACTTTCTCATTTTCCCTCTCTCTCTGTCTCTGGCAAGCACACATTCCCTCTGGCAAATTAAAAAAAAAATAAAATAAGGTGTTCTTCACTATTATATATATCTTCATGACCAATGTATTTGAGTTGCTTAAAGCAAAAAGGATTAAAATATGAAATGCATACTTTAGTTCAGTTTAAGAATTATAAAACAATACAAACTATTATTGAAGATGGGACAGAAAAAGTTAATCTATATTCAATAACTCAACATTTACATTGAACTGAAATTAGTTTTTTAAGATCCTGAAATGCCAACCAAACTATCAGTATGTAAAAGTAAAGAGGACAGATTCAATATTAATATTGAATATCAATATTATATCATTTCTATGTAACCATTATCTAAAAATGAATCTTCCAAATCTTGGTTGTATAGGATTTATTTCATCCTTGATGAGAAAACATCTAGCCCCTATCTACTTGTTAAGCTCACTTTTTGAGTACATAAGGATTCTTTTGTTGCCTAAAAAATAATTCTACACCTACCGCAGATCTAGCTTTCTATTTTCACATTAGATCTTTAAAATCTTTATTATATGATTCTTGTTTTTAGGTTTTTTTAAAAAAGAATTATTTAACTTTATTTATTTAAATCTGAACAGAGAGATAGAGTGAGAGTGAGAGTGTGTGTGTGTGTGTGTGTGTGTGTGTGTGTGTGTGTGTGTGTGTGAGAGAGAGAGAGAGAGAGAGAGAGAGAGAGAAAGAGAGAAAGCAAGCCGCCAGGTCCAGGACTTGAACCTCAGTTGGCCAAGTAGGAGTCCAGTGCCTTTAACTACCATGCCACCTGCTGGCCCCTGGTTTTTAGTTTTATAGTACTGAGTAAATTACTTACTATGTGATACCCTATCAACTTCTTTTTAAAAAATAAATTGTATATCCTACTTAATTATCTCTGACAATAATTCTGAGAGTTATTAATTTTAATGCTTTCTAAAAAATGAAAGTTTGGGAACATTTTATTATTGCCAGTAACTTCAATGTGGTAAATTTATACTGAACAAGATAATGAATATCTCTAATGAAAATTTCTTCAGAAGTACACGAGGGATCTTCAAAAGGTCACAGAAAATGAGTATTATGGAAAAAAACTATACATGGATTTCAAATTTTCTTTTACACCGAAACAAACTTGTACTTATTTAATTTCATTTTTCCATAAGCTTTTTGAAGCCCACTCATATGTGAACTCCCAAAGAACTGTGATATTTATGCCTGTGATGTTTGTGACATTTCCCTACTCACCTTTTTTAGATGGCTTGGGTGGTACAACTGGGCCAGGTTCTATGTTGTCATAAAAATTATTGATGGCTTTTGGATCAAAGTTTCCTATAAAGAAAATAAAATCACCAGGTATTTAGGACTCTTTCTCCTATTGTTATTTTTTCTCTAAAGAAAAAAAATATATAAAACATGTAAGATGGGAAAATGTTTTCCAGGGTTTCAAAACTCATTGTATCATCCTGTCCTTTTCCCTTTGAAATTGTTCATTTACTATTGTGAGAAAAGACCCAGGAAAACGTCCACACAGTAGCATTTGTCTACAATGTACTACCTGAAGGAATATTTAACTGCACTGCTAGTCTCTTTAGGAAGGATTAAGTACGTAAACATTTGGGGAGGAAATGAAGAGAAATGTAAGAATGGTTGAACTGTTGTCTCTTTCTGCTTCTTTTGATTTTAATGAATCATAAAGAAAAACATTTAAATAGTGAAATCTCACTTCCATATCTTTTATAATTTCCCTTAAAATTTCATCCATTATAAATTCAACTATGGAAGAAGCTAAATACTGAATACATAAATGTATAAAGATTAATCAAGTTAGGTTTTGAGATATCTAAGAACTGGGTAAATGTGAAATAACATTAAGCAGCTCAGAGGATTCATATTTTCGGGGAAAGGAGCATATTAAGTCTTAAATGTTGTCTACAGATTTATCAATGGTAAAGCATGATGTGCCGATTTCAGAACAGAACAACCCCTGAGAATTTTGTCTTGCCACAAAATGTTCACCTTTCTTAAAATATTGCTCCCTGATCTAATGTCTGTATTTCAGCCGCATCTCCTGCTGTGAGTCCTCCAAGGGCAGTTTTGATCCAGTGTCAGTTTTGAGTCCTACCTTCACTTCTGTGAACCTATTACTATATTCTACTTGTTCTAAACCATTCCAGTAAAACATTATAAATGTACTTGCACTGACTGACAGAGAAGGCTTTAGGATACTCAAAGATTAAATATATTGAATCTTTTTATTTTAGACCTATTTTTCCCCCCAAAAAACTTTCCTTACCACAATAAACAACAAAACTGCTTTTCACCAAATCTGTGCATACTACAAATGCCTCCCTCTCTCCCCAGTGTTTAGATTCCTTCTCTAGTTAAAAAGCTTAGATCAGAAACTCAGTATAAAAACTGTTCTAGAGTGTGAAAGAGTAGAATTTAGTGTAAAATGGGTATATTTGGACCCTTATGAAAAGAGATTTAGAAATGCTTATATACCAAAAAGAGCTCATCGTAACGTCATTATGCAATGCAGACCAAACATACAGCTCTTTACTTTAAGATCTTAATCGTGGTTTCCTTCGCAGGTTCTATTACATACGTTTTATCCTTTGGTTATGCTGTTTTATTTTTAAGGCAATTTTCTGAAAATAATTCCTATGATACTGCATAAAAGCCACAATGTTATTTGATACATTAATTGGATCTTGAATTTTAAGCTATAAGATGCTGCATATGTATTTCTTCCATTACTTAAGTTACAGCTGAAGTCCCAATTTTTAGACCCCATAAGTCTTATCATAAATATGTTTGAATGCTTCTTGCTTGGCTTCAAAGACGATGCAAGTAAAAAAGTTGATGCAATCTTCTATAATATAGTATCAATAGTTTGAATAACCCACACATTATCCACAGTAATTCTTTCACTGTTTAATGCTAGTAGGCGATAGAATGATTAGGCTTTAGAAAATAACATTAAGGGTACCTGACTTAAGACTATTCAACTCTCACACTCAAATTTGCTTCTGTTTGCTGTTCAGATAGTTCTGTTGTTTTGGGGCTTACCTGCCTCTACTGTTTACTGTTGCCTAAAAATGGGACTGAGATATTCTATTATATATTCTTGAAATACTGTAGAAGCTCTCTTAGCTACTATAATTAAGAACAGTAAGTGGGAGGAGGGGTAGGGAGAGGAGGGGACTGATTAAAACAGAACTGTTAAGAAAAATGACACAAGTCAACTTTACTTTAACAAACATTAAGAATACAGCAATATTTTAATGATATACAAAGACCTTTATGTGTCTGCTGAAGTTCCATACTATCTTTCTTACATAAACCACATCCATGATGACCCAAAGCGAGGGTCAACAAACTTTTTCTGTCAAGAGCCAGAGAGTAAGTACTTTAAACTTTGTGGGGGCTGTAATACAGTCTCTGCTGCAAGCACTCAATTGTGCTGTTGAAGCACAAAAGTGGCCATAGACAATAGGTAAACAAGTGTGGCTATCATTCCACTAAAACTTTTATGTACAAAAACAGGCAGTAGGCTCTAGTTTGCTGAACCCTGAGCTGTAATTTTGTTTTGATTTCTTTAGAATATAGCAAGAAAGACATTAAGAATAAAGCAATTTGAGTATAGAATTCTTTCAGACTTATGATTTTCCCATTTAATCTTTTCCACACTAACTAATGTGTCCCCGTTGGCTAGGGACATACACCTAATTCACAGTAATTAATCTTTTAAGTGATTTGCCTTTCAATCTTAAAAAGACATGTGCCTTTGGTTTTTATAGAAATAGCAGCCTTCTCCCATATTCTTGTCAGTTTATGAAACAAATTATAGAAAATTAGTAACTGTCATAAACAGATTGGGGACACAAAGGACTTTTGGTAAGGACACAGTTCAACCAATGAGAGCAATAGCACATGACGTGCCAGTCTAGAGTGTGCAGTGGCTGGGGATATCAGTCAGTATACTTTGCAGAGCAGATAAGGCCCAACTACAATGTGGTGAGTTCAGTAAATGAAAGTCAGTTAAGAGAGCTTCTACTGTAGTATACTTCTGTATGAAACCTAAAAACTGTAACTGATTATAGTTGAATGTTTTCACATTACAGATAACATAAAAAATGGCATATAGAATTTATTTTAAAACTGAGAAATCTGATTTGGAATCCTCATTTTTTTACCAGTATTTTAGATGACTATTATATAAAATGAATTCTACTAACTTTCAGAACTAAAACCCATCAATTTAAAAATATTCACAGTAAATGGATAAAAGAGGATAAATGCAAAGTAACAACATAGTCTAAATGATAAGAATTTAATGATGAAATTGTTAAAGTAAAGCTATTTTTGATCCCCCAAATCTAATAATCTATGACCATGGGATTAAGGGGGATCTCTTTACCAGGAATATAATCTTATAATGGATTAAAACTATCTCTTAAATCTACAAAACCAAAATTATTGCTATTTAAGCAGCTTAAAATACCACACTATTACTTATGGTTTACCAAATAATCAAGTCTATACCTCTAGATTGAAGGAGGTCAACTTCTTTCAGTGTACAGTCAACATTTATCTGGAGTTGTCTGTTCATGCTTCTCAATCTTGTCATTTCCTCAGGCTAGTAAGAAAGGACCCAAAATAGCAATTGTGGGAAAGTCATTATCAAGCCCAGCATTTAAGAACTGCGTTTCATGTTAATCCTTCTGATTGAGTATTACCAAGAATTTGGCCTTAGTCTATAAGAGAGCATGTTTAAGAAGTCCTATGTGTATGTCTTTAAAGGAATAGTCAGGTAAAATGGGAACAATCAAAATGGCCACTTATAAACAAAATCTCCATGTAAAATGGTGGAGTACAACACTGGACTGTGTTCTATCATACAAGATACAATTCTAATCACAGAACACTAAGAATATATTATTTCTGTGCTTTCACAGTAAGGGAAATTACAAGAATCAACCTTTTAAACAAGAAATGTCTATGACTTTAGGCTTATTCAGCCTGGTAAAAATTACAACAGTACTAATTTTAATTAGCCCTTAAACTAAGTGTCAAGCACTGTATTTACCAGAATTCTGTCATTCTCATCTAAATAGTTCTTTAAGATAAATACTAATATCATACCTAATTTATAGATGAAGAAACTGAGGCATAGAAAAGTTACATAATTTCTCCAAAGTTATAAAGTTAGTAATTGGTAGAGTGAGGAATTTTATAAAAGTCTTCTATATAAATTAATACAGAAAATTTCAGGAGCAAATGGATTTAATTCTTTTACTTTGATCTTTCCAATCTAGATCACTCCTTAGGCTTTTCAGGGGCAGATAGAAGGCACTGAAATATGAATAGAGTCCTAATCTTCAGTGAAACAAAGCTTTTTGGAAGCCATTACTTCCATTGCCATTATTAATTTAACTTATAATGTGCACAGTAAAAAGATAAACTCAATGTTTAGAATCTAGAGGCCTGGGTTCTGAAGCTTTCTATACAGTCTAAATATTAACTAAATTACTAGGCTGATTCAACTACATAAAGTCAAAAATTAAATTTGTGCTACTATAGGTAAAACAAAATTCTGTTAAAAACATATTTTTCTAAAAGCTAAATATGATCATATAACAGTGAAGAAAATGAACAGAAATGATATCTTAATTTATAAAAATGCAAGACCTTATGTGATTAGGAGGTATCAGAATAACTGGAAATGTCCATTAAATTAGCAAGTATCAAAAGTAGTGATATAAACAGCAGAATATAGCAAGAGCTACGATCCCTGAGAATGCCAGAGGAATGAAAAAAAAAACTATTTAGAAATATGTATTAGGATTGCCTTTCTTTTCTCATTTCTAGGGGCAAATTATGTGGAATTATGCCTTATCTACCAAGCAATATTAACAGTTCAAAATACATACTTGAGAATTTACATAAAAGAAACAGTACTTGATTAAGGGCTCTAAAGATTGACACTATCTCCCTAGGAACATGTGAAAACATCCCTTCTTTTCTTTGTAGGATCATATGGGGGAAAGTCAAATACTTGAAGGGGCTGTTCCTTCACATATATATGTTTTTGTTTTTGTTTCTGAGGGAAAAGGAAAATGTTTCAGCCACAATGGCCCTGAATAGTGAACTAAGTTACTTTGTAACTAAGTATATGGAAATATTATAATATACTTTATAGCTAAGAAGCTACTGCACATTTGCTCAAAACAAAAAGCCCGCTCTCATTGACAGACTTATTTCACTAAACTAAGGGTTTATCTGGGAATCCTATGTACTTTTGAGAGAAAAGCTATTTCTTTTTTTTTTAGTTATTCTTTAAATTGATTATTATTAATCATACATCAATTGCTATACATCATTTAGATTGTAAAGAGACTTTACCCAGCATGATATACACCTCTGCAACTTGTTAGTAGTATACTGTGTTTTCACAGAGGAGAGTTTCAAGACTGGCTATGTATAATTTAGAACTGTTTGTAAGATAACAGGGTATTCATATCTAACATTTCAAAATGAAAATTGTAAGTATTTTTCAAAAGGTGGCAGAAATATCTTAAGCCAACTGTTTCAGCACTTTAAAAAGTTGTTTCAGAGACCAAGCTGGAAGACCACTGATGTTCCTTGATGGCTTAGCAGCAGTTTGCTCCTGGGACTCAAAGATGGGGTAGTCCAAACCCCAGTGAGTCAAAACTGGATTAAAGGGAGGAATAACTTCAGGGAGGAGACTAACAACTCTCTCCTTACTACAGTCTTATTTATGTTTCATACTAAAATTTAAATTTCTCCCTTATCTTTGAATCTTATTAGCGAAAAACTAATATTTCAATCTCAGAACTCTGAAAGTACTTAATATCTTTACCATTTAGGTGGTCAACAATTCTGATTTACTGTCTTACATTTTTTTTCTCTTTCGCATGTACAAATACATGTAGATTCATAGACATATCTAAATATAAGTATTCAAAAAGGTCATAGAAAATGTCTATCATGGGGACAAGCAGATGATGTAGTGGTTACATCGCTGGAGTCCCATGTAGTCAAACGCAGTTCAAGTCCCAGACCAGGCGGCTTCAAACTCACATCAGGTGCATGTGCGTGCATGCCTAAAATCCTGAGAGAAGGGATTGTGGCATGGCTATCTCCCCTGGGAAGGTATTTCTCGCTTTCTTTCTCTCTGGTGAGCGCACACTCCCTATAGCAAAACTCTAAGAAAAAAGAAAGAAAAGAAAGTGTATTATGAAAAAAATGCATGGATTTCAAAAATTTTTGTACCAAAAAATTTATACTTTAATTCCATTTTTCCATGTACTTTTTGAAGGACTCTCGAATCTTTTTACATACGGATCTCTTTAAGAGATGCCATCTTCTGCAGCATTTAATACGATGCTTTGTAAATAGCAAACCCAAGGAAGTGACACCATCGTACACATTACAGTTCTGCTCACCTTACAAAAAGACGATTTCACTGTTATTCTTAAATTTCTGTAATCACTCATATAGCTGGTGGCAAATGTGCACTCCAGCCTCATTAGGCTTGCTTGATAAATTTATTAATTTGAAGGTACTCCATTGCAAAAAGTCAATTCTCTATTGGTACTACTACACACAAAGTGAGACAAGGATAAGGACAGCCAAATACTGTAAGTACCTACTCCACATAAGGCACCTTAGGCATCTCACACACACTGTCTCTCTGGCTTGACAGCAATATTGTAATGTGCTTGTTATATTCCCTTTTATAGAGAAGGAAAATCAAATTCAGAGACATCAGATGTAGCCAGTGACTCCCAAGCCTATGTGGATGGCCTTTCCACTATGTCATGGTTCCTCTAATGAACCTCAATGAACAACAAAAAATAAAATTCTGACTAAGTTATTTATTTTTTGATTAAGTTCCTCCATAATTATACCCTTATGTCATGCATGTTCCTAAAGTTAATGGGAAATCTAAGTTTTGGAAAATGCTTCAGATTTGTGCACATGTCTACATCTCAAGCAAAATTTTCCCTATTTTGCAACCAACATTTATTTTGTAAGGAAATTTACTATTAGTTGGGCCTTGTGTAACAACTTGCCTAACAAATTATATAATTCTAATAAAAATCTCATGAGATAGGTACTCCACCACTCACATTTTATAGATAAGAAAACAAGCATAGAGAAAGTTACTTTTCCAAGGACAGATGAGTGACACAAGTGGCAGAAGCAACATTCATATTTGCACCTGACTGGCTGAAAAGCCCACTCACTGTCTTAGTCACCATGTACAATTGTCCCTCAGCCATGCGCTCCCAAGTGAAATCCATCTTACTAAAGTCCTGGTAGAAGAAATGCATGGGTAATCCATTCAAATTTCTTATCTCCTGAATACTGGGTTGTCAGAAAAGTCATGATGTATTTTCCTATGCAAAAATGGGTCATGACTTTTCCAACGACCCAATATTATTTATTACCCATACAAACTACCAATTTCTGAAGTTGGGTGATGGTTCATTATACTATTCAGCCTATTTTAGGTATCACTGAAACGCTCTATAATAAAAAGCTAAAAAAAAAAAAAAAACAGCCTATGGAAGCAGTTTCAACAACTTCCCTCTTTTTCCCTTTTAAAGAAGACTCATCAATAAAAGCTCTGATCTAAAACTCCCTACACTACATTAGACAGTTCTCCACTTCCAATTAAAAAAAAATGTCAACAGGGTTTTATTTAGCAGAATTATCAAACAGCAAGTAAAAAAAGCTAAATAAAGCTTACATGACTTTAATGACTTCTATGCTAAGCAAATCTGTTTATGCTTTACAGGTACCTAAAGGAGTCCAAAGTGCCTAATAACCACAGTGGAGTCCCATGTGAGTTATATATTTCAGTATCTTCTCAATCGGTGAATCTGATCATGATTTCAAGTGGGGCCAATCAGTGGTGTGGTGGTTAAGGTGCCTGGATCCCACGTAGCTGACTGCACAGTCCTGGACCTGGCAGCTTGAAAAAACATGCTGGGCTGGTACATGCCCAAAATCCCAAAAGGAAAAATGGAGGAGAAGGGATCGTGACATGGTCGTCTCCCATGGGAACTGCTTTTTCACCCTCTCTCCACCCCCAGCCCTGGGCTCACTCACTCTGGTGAGCTCACATGTTCTTTGGTAAGATTTTTTAAAAAAGATTTCAAATGGAGAAAATGAGGCAGAGATTTGATTTATATTTACATTAATATCATATTTCAGTTAATGATAGCTTTGTAATTTTCCAAGTGTTTAAAGTAATTAAAACCCTCTTATTCCCCCTTCTCACTTCTAACACTGACTAAATTGAGGAATATAGTCAATATTAGAAAAAATTCATTTAATAATTGAATATACCTGTTTTTCAAATATCCCTTTCTTGGGGTCAGAACCTAGCACAACAGTTATGCTCTTTGTGTAGGGACCTGAATCCCACAAATGCAACCATGGTTCAAATCCTGGCCCTGGCTGCTTGAAAGACCTGTTCAGCATGTGTGTGTGTAGGCATGTGCCCCAAATCCTGACAGGATTAAATGGAAGAAAAAGGCTTGTGGTATGACCATGCCCCAAGGGGTTGCGTGCATGTGCTTGATCACTCTCTTGTGAATGCATGAACCCTCTGGCAATTGTGGAAAAAAAAAAAAGAAAAACAAACAAACAAACAAAACAACTCTTTCTACCAGTTCCCTATTACTAGCAGAATAAATTTCAGACACTTAGACCTAGGATTCAAAGCCTAAACCCCATTCTACCTATGCACATTAATTTCTTTTAACTCTTTAGAAATCATATGCTTAAGCCAGGGAACTCTCTTTATTTATTTATTGCCTCCTCAAAGTCTGCCTCTTTCTTGACTTCAAGTCTTTGCTACCTCCTGTTCAGTTTCCTTCCAAAATGTCTTCCCCTTTCCCTTCTGCCCAGAGCAGTACTATCTATAGTTTAGGGCAGTGGTTCCTCATTCTTTTTCTTTCAATCTAACAACTCATGAAAATCAGATGAAAGCTACTTCCTACAGACCTACTTCCCATCTAAAAACAAATGTGGAACTCTGCAATGATTTCAATAATTTCATAGATCCCCTTTGAAGACAGAAACCTCAGTTTAAAAAAAAGTCTATATGAGGGAGTAGCTTCAGACACACTGACTGCAAGAGATCTGCCATATAGGCCTACTTCTCTAAATCTGTAAACCCTGAGAGAGGTTACTCTGAGTTTAGAGAAGGTAGGAAAATGAGGAAAGGCTCCATGAAGGTAGAGGTTAAGTTGAGCCTTGAAGAGCAGACAGAATTATACCCACATAGCCTTAGAAGGGCATTCTAGTGGAGGATAATGGGAGAGAGTGGAGAAGTATACTGATTATACACAAAAACTAGATGCATCAATTCTCTCATGTGAACATGTATACAGCACTTACCACACTGTACTATAACTGTCTGTTAACATATCTGTTCTTCCCACTAAGCACCTACCATAGTTCCGTGTTTATAAACTCTATGTAAAAAACGCTTGTTGGATAAATGAATGTTGAAGGGTAAAATGATGGAGTGGATCACAGAAAGCTTGCGAAGTCACAAGATTTTTAGGAGATATGTTTCAAAATTTTCAGCTGAGTTGGATAGAGTATATGCTAACCAACATGGTGAAGACGTAGTTTGAGTATTTTCGTTAAAGCAATTTCCTTTAGGACCACTATCAGCCAATAATGTTATCTCAGTTTCTATAATTATTCAATACTTATACTTAACAAAACTGTTCTGCTTTAAAATATTCTATAGTCAGTCAATACTTGCTCAAAATTCATGTGGCTCTACTTAGAAAAGTAACTTTAAATATTTGAGATACTGTATTTTGACTGTAACTGCCAGTATTTGAAAATACTGACACACGTATGGAATTTACCCATAAATAAAGCAACCGATTATTTGGATGAGAACTACTGAAGAAGTCCTTCATCCGTTGTTTTAAGCAAACAAATAAACAAACAAAAACCCTCTAAGTCTGCCAGGAACAGAAGCTAAGCGAAAACAAATGACCTGCACAGCCAGTATCCCCCTCTTCTTATCAACACATCCCACAGGTCACTTACCGTGGGGATCGCAGTAGTGCAGCTGACTCTTCTGAGCCGTCTCTGCATCAGGTCATGCTCCATACTGTTAACTTCAGCCTTCAACCGCTCTAGCTCCTCTTTCTCAAGTTTCAATTGCTTTGCTAACCTCTCCATCCTTGCTCGCTGATGTAACAGCAAAGCTATAGCATTACAGATAAAATCATTGCAGAGAATAACATTGAACAAGTGACTGGGAATTTTCTATATGCACTGCTGATGTATATAAGACTCATCCAAGTGGGGAGTTGGCATTTACTCACATGGCTTTCTAGTGCTACTCAGACTCCGTATTTGCTCTAATTTAGTTTTAACTGCACCAAAATGATATCATCTGTACATCTCTTTGATTCCTTAATTTCCCCAAGATTCTCTTTCTGTATGTATATATATGTGTATGTGTGTGTGTGTGTGTGTATAAATAATATTTTGGAGAGAGAGATTTTTGCAATAGGGCATGTGTGCTCACTAGAGAGAGAGACAGAAAGTGAGAAATCGCCCCCCAGCGGGGATGGCCATGCCGCAATCCCTTCTCCTCTGTTCTCCTTTCAGGATCTTGGGTACGCACGCACACAAGTACATGCACCCAGTGTGAGTTTTAAGCCACCAGGTTTAGGACTTAAACCACGGTCGACTACGTGGGAGTCCAATGACATAACCATTATGCCATCTGCTGGTCCCTCTTTCTGTATATTTTAAACAAGCTCCATACCAGGCATACAGAATTACAATTATAATTACTTCCTTTCTTATGTATTGAAACTTACTAAATTCCCAGGTATCCTGAAGCAAACTGAGTAGTTTCAAAACTATTCTCTTTTATATTTAGTAAGGTCTATTATTAGCTAATGCAACAACTTCCTTCATTACTCATTCTACTTCTTATACATTACTTATAAATGCCATTATGCCTTCTGGGTCACCCTCTTTATTAAAGATGCAAATTTTTTGACTTGATGAACTTCAGTCTACCCTCTATGAGTCTCTTTTTCCTACTCTGTAGTTTGTATTTTTTTTTTTTTTGGAGAGATTTTCACTGTAGGGCGCGTGCGCTCGCCAGACAGACAGACAGAGACATAGAGACAGAAAGCGAGAAATCACCCCCCAGGGGGGATGGTCACGCCGCAATCCCTTCTCCTCCATTCTCCTCTCGGGATCTTGGGCATGCACGCACACGCGCCTGGCGTGAGTTTTAAGCCACCGGGTCCGGGACACGAACCACGGTCGACTACGTGGGAATCCAGCGACATAGCCATTACGCTAACTGCTGGTTCCCTGTAGTTTGTATTTTTGACAATATCTATTTTGCTTGTCTCTACTTTTCTCCCAATGAATATTCTTCCTAAAAAAATCTTATTAGGTCACTATTATCACACCAACATTTTAATATTTTCAAACAAATTCTAGATGACCGAAGCAGTTATCTTAATTAAGGGCAATGCTGCTCCCCAACATTTAATACTAGACATTTGATTAAAACAATTTCATTTTAAATAGGAGACTGCCAAATTGTCATAAAGATTATATTTCATAAAAGGGCTAAATTTTACCTTGTGTGTAGGCATAGTCATCTGATCCAGAACTAGAACTCCTCTGATATTTATGGCTTCCCTTTTCTCCCCCAGAGCCTGGTATCACTGAAATGGGTTGAATAGGTTCTGGTGCTGCAGAGCGCTCTTCTTGGTCCACTAAATTTAAAAGATTTTCTGTCGTTGCCCGGCCTACAGTAATTTTAAAGACCGTAGTTGGGTTTGGTATCACCCGAGGAGAAGGCGATGGAGCGCATGAAGGTCCAGTTGGCTGTGTATATGTAATATACACAGGGTTAACATTAAATGGAGGTTTGGGTTGACTAGATATTCCTCTTGAAGGAGAACTTGAAGGTGGTGTGGTGGCTGTGTACAGTGCATGCTGATTCCGTGGAGACGGTTGATTGCTGATGGGTGAAGGACTCCTCGTGATTGCTGTCCCAGGTCTTTGAGAAGGTTCAACTGTAATTTCTATCTTCTTCATGGAACCTTTGGGTAAGCTAGATGGTGTGTATGGGAGATAGGCTACCGAATGGCTTCCCTGTTTCTGATAGCTAGGAGGTCCTTGTTGATAAAGATGGGGTGGAGTAGTTGAAGGACTAGGTGGCATAAAGACGTGGGAACTTGGGTGGCCCAACTGGGAAGGCTGCACTTGATGCTGTGGAGAGCTGAAGGGTGAAGGACACTGAGAAGGAGGCGGTGAATGGTAAGCAGATTGAGGAATCTGCTGCTGTTTAGGAGAATACTGAGAAGGTTGATAGTTCTGTTGGTGTGGATAAACAGGCAAAGGACGTTGGCTATAATGAGGAACTGGGCCCTGTGGTGAGGCCTGCCATGGCGTACTCTGAGGAGTTTGTCTTCCTGATGAACTCTGAGATGTCTGTCTAATATAAATAGAACCAGGAGACCCATAGAGATTGCTTGGAATTTGTGGAAGAATTTGTAAAGCTCTTGGTACAGCCTGTCCAGAAGGGAGGTTCTGGGATACTGTAACAGTAATTGGATTTGTACTATACCGAGGTATGTGCATGTATGAAGGAGGTGGTGGCGGTGGTGGTGAAGGCCCTTGCATAGCAGATGGATTCATTCCCGTTTGAATGGAAGATGGTTGTTGAGGTGGCTGTGAAGGAGGTGTAGCTGCACTTCTGTTCTGTTCATTCATAAAAAATGGATTGTAGTTGGGAGTAGCAGCCACAACAGCTGGAGCTGAGTGTGGTTCCTGAACTAAACATATCAGCTGTTTTCCTGCTGTATGCTGTGGATCAATATGTCCATCACTTGAGCTATGTACCAGTGTTCGACCACCATTAAGTTGAGCTCCATCAGCTGGGTGGTAGCTACTAGGAGAGTGGATACCCAGGTTAATATGCAAAAGGCGGTTTCTATTCATTTTATTGTCATCTGGACTATGGTATTCCATATATAAGTATTTGCTATTATCCTGGGAAAGGGCTCGGCAACAGGCTTCAAGATTGTTGTTATTCTAAGGGAAAAAAAAACAATAAAAGTAATATTGACAATATTAACACAATCTCATAGAGGAAGTCAGGCTTTGCCAGAGAGTTATACAAATGCTACTATCATAGAGTAGTGAGTACAGAGTGGTTTTATAACCATACTAAGCTTCATGGTCATCTATCCTGAAAAGGAGATCCCAAACAATACATATTATTTTTATAAACATTTAGCTCATGTTACTAGTACTACCACTACTGCTACTGCTACAGAAATGTAAAGTACCTACTAATGAACATTGTGACTCAACCCCAAGTTTTCTGACTCCAAATCCAGGACTCATTTTATACTTGTTGCATCTCAACAAATTAAAATGGTAGGCTAATCTTGGAATCACCACAATTGCGGCAATATATAAGTAATATCCATCATTAAGATTTAAACTGATAAACAAGAAAAGAACCATGATTTATTTTTCAAAAGTTACTGAAACCACAAAGGAGAAAAAAATTATAATACAATTCCTAAAGAGTTAAAATAATAAGAATTCTAAAGCAGCTTTCACTTTTCCTTTAACCAAATTCATCCCTATATAACTTCGATGATCTGTATCATTATTAAAGACTTAAGCAAAACAAATCAGTAAAAAATATGCTCATATTTTGAACGATGGCTCTGTGACTTTGCCAGAGTTACAGTAATTTAACAAAAAACCTGATCTTAACTGCCTTAATGAAATTCACTCATACTCCCATGGCCTCAAAAGTTTTTACCCATTGAAAGTTAGTTTGGTTTATGAGGGAGAAGGTCTTCTAAAAACTCACAGCAAATACACATTACAGAAAAAACTAAAGATGGATTTCAAAATTTTATTGCATTACAAGAAACTTGTACTTTGATTCCATGTGTCCACAAACTTTTTGAAGTCCCTCTGTACTTTCAAAAAAAAAAAAAAAACAATGAAGAATTTTAATTGTTTCAGTTATACATATAAAAAAAGTAATAGCAAGCTAACTTTTTTTTTTAAGGTTTTCCACAGACACACATGGGTACTTGCTGGACAGAGAGAGATAGAAAGTGAGAAATCACCCCCCAAAGGGGTTGACCCCATCACAATCCCTTCTCCTCCATTCTCCTCTTGGGATTTGGGGCATGTGCCCAACATAATTTTCAGGCCACCAGGTCTGGGACTTGAACCTGTGGATTCAGCCATGTGTAACCTAGCACCTTAAACACCATGCCATGTGCTGGCCTAGCAAGTTGAAATTTTAGAAAATTCAACCAGTAATGAAATTAATACGTGTCCTTCTTTTTAAAACTTTAAGTTATTATAAAACAGTTTTACATTAAAATACAGAATTCTGAACTATTAATATTTTATTAGCATAAAACACATACTATTCACTGCCTTTAAAATAATTCATAAACATTTCTCAATTATTGTGACTTCTCTATAGTCTCATACATGCAGACATGCACATGTGTACATATTACTATATAGTTATTTTACAGAAAAATACATTTAAAGAAAAACCTGAGTTCTTTACTTCTTTTAAGCATGAGAGAGAAAAAAATAAAGTCAAGTATCCTCAACAGGATCTCATGCCCTAACTCACCCCCCATCCTTCCCACCCAGTTAGGATCAGGAGTGCACATGCCCAGTGTGCACAGTTGAACCTGAGCGCCAAACTGCAACCTTCCATATGGATCCAACATTGCCTGAACACTGTTACGATACACGACCTAATCAGTTTGAGAAAAGTACCATTTATGTAAACATGAAAGGAACCTCTTCAATTCTGCTGAGAATGAAATAAGGTTACACCTAAAACAGGACATAAGATACTATAATTGTAGAGTTCAAAGAACTTACAGAATCCACCTACTCCAACTGGACTCATATTTACAGATGAGGAACGAGATGGCTGGGAGGGTATATGGCTTGACAACAGGCATGATCTAAGTAACTGGGGAGCCAGTTCTAGATTCTTTGTATCTTAAGTTCCAGTGTTCTTTCTACACAGTAACTTCTAGGGAGAGGATGTTGGGCCAAAATGGTATTACTAAACTGGATCTTTAGGAACTAGAAAAACATTCAGTCAAGAAAACCATTTCAAAATGAGCTCTCAGAAATTTAAAGAAGTGGCTTTATCAAAACAACATAGATAATCTTTATCCTTTTCTTTTTATAAAGCTTTTGATAATAAAAAACACTTTTTAAAAGAATTTTAAAAATTTATCTTTATTTGTTTATTTATTTATTCATTTATTTATTTTAATTACCAGAGCGGGATGGAATGAGAGAGAGAGAAAGCAAGAATGCAAGCTACCAGGTCTGGGACTTGAACTGTGGGGAGTCCAGCACCCTTAACTACCATGCCACTTGCTGGCCCCTAAAAGCACTTTCTAGAAAGTGTTTAGAAAGAAGTTTACATTGAAGTTTAAGAAGAAAGTGATTCGAACTCAAAGCTTTGACTTTCTTCTGTTTGAAAATCATGCTAATCAAGGGAAAGAAGCTAGATATTTAAAACAAATTTGGAGCTAAAAGGTTAAGACTGCCAACCGGAATGTATCAGTGATAGATATCTAAAGGAACAAAATAGGGACTATGAAAATAAAGTATCTCCTTCAAGTTTTTTATAAACCTGTGGGCCAGAGGAGAATAAAAACTAGTTTTATTTGAAATCTAGAAGTCATGGACTCTTTTTTTATATTTTTAATATTTTGTATTTTATTAATAATTCTGAAATATCCTTTTTTCCCCACTGAGTTAATTAGCTTAGTATTGTCACAAAAAGGATCAAAATTCAAAATGATATAAAGTTAGATTTGTCAGCCTATTGACATGCATGCTTACAGTAACAAGTAAATTTTCCTATGAAGAAAAAATTTAAAATATAAATACAAGATACTCAGTATTATCTTTATGAAAGTATTGTGAAAAGAATATCACCAGGTTAGATTCAATCAAATGTATATCTGACCTGCTAAATGTCTTACAAAAGGGAAAGAATGGATTTAAAGAGACCAAAATTGTTGAGTTAGATAAAGAGATTGAAAATTTAAAGAAGACATACATTAACACTCTTGAAAGGACAGAGGTAAAACAAAACCAAACCAAACCAAACCAAAAAACAATGAATTCCCCAAAAGTGATCCTAAGTTGAGGGATGACAGCCCAGAGAGAGGCTTTAGGTTTTTGTATTAAATCCAAACTACTGAGTCTCATATATTTTCATCTGAACAAAGAAACTTTCTAGCATCTGTAGGTGGTAAATCTCTGTATAATCTATCGATCACAAAAGAAGAAAACAGTGAATAGGTACAGTGAACTTAATACAATGTAAGGATCAACAAGTGTTCACTGAGGTGATTTATAAGTTCTGTTTCTTCAGTTTAGTTAAGTGGCTGTGGAAAATGCAGGTCATAAAAGGTTAATTAAAACAAAACTGAGATCAGAGCTATGTAGGGCCCAAGATAGAGGAGGAAGGTGATTACTAGGAGGTAGTTTAACTATTGTAGAAGCCTCACTCAAGCTTGGTTTCACTCCAAGGGGACATGTCTTTGCTCTATGAGACACCAAAATGGGGATCAAGAAAAAAGGTGAAATTCAAACTGGGGATATATATTTAAAAAAAAATAGCAATGGGCCAGCCCCATAGCTTAGTAATTAAGGGAGTAAGGTCCCATGTGGCCAATCATGTGGTTTGAATCAAAGCCCAGTAGTTTGAAAAACACCCTGGGAACATGTATGTACACGCCCCAAATCCCCACAGAATGGAGAAATAGAGAAGAGATTGCTGCAAGACTACACCCAACTAGAGGGTGTTTTTTTCCTCTCTCCTTTTCTGTCTGTCTGTCTCTCTCTCCCTCTCTTTGGTGAGCATATTAACCACTGTTTAATTAAAATTAATCAAAAGAAAAAGGAAACACACACACACACACACACACACACACACACACACACACACAAACCCAAAGGCAAGCTATAACACAAAAAGCGTAAGCCCAAATATCTAGACCTAGTAAAGGGCTTGCCAAAAGAAGCACCTTTGTTACCACCACTGTTTTGTGTATCTCTATTTGTAATCTTGCCTGAATATGAGTTCAAGTTATATCCTGAGCTACACAAACTGCATGAACATAGAATTTGAAGTAAGTGCCAACTATGTGTGTGAGGAAGACTAGTGGGTCAGGTAGAAGTATTGCTCCCAGATGTCAACCCAACAGGGAAGTTCCATAACCCAAAACACAGTGAAAGTCTGTGAAGGATGATATAAAACTCAATAGGGGTAGCAGCAGTCTATCTCAGGAATGGAAGATTTATTTCAATGTAAGACAACAACACAAAGGCAATGTGACTGAGTGAAAATGAGTAGGCTTACAATTAAACTTAGATATTAGTAAAAATTTGTCAACTAGCGAAATAGTAAGAAAGGGAGTGGATCATCTAGAGGCTTTTAAAGATAGGTTCAAAAGGGGACCAGCAGGTGGCATGGTGGTTAAAGGTGCTGGATTTCTACATGGCCGACTGCAATTCAAGTCCCAAACCCAGTGGCTTGCTTTTTCCCTTTACCTTTCTCTCTCCCTCTGTCTCTCTCTGGTCACATTAAAAAAATAATAACAAATGTGATTAAATAAATAATTATTTTTAAAAATAGGCTGAATGGAATATAGTTAAGTTAAAATAATAAACTTGAAATTTGAAATTTAATGCTGTAAGTTCAGAAACTTTTGCAGACATAAACCCAAAATATTCAAAGAATGAAATGTAAGGAGAATATCTTTTTTCTTTGTGTTATATGACTTTAGCCCTTCCATGAAATCAGTAGTTCTCAAAGGGGGGAGGGATGACTCCCATGGGACATTTGGCCATGTTAGGAGATATTCTTGGTTGTCACAACTGCTGGGAAGCTATTGGTATTAGTAGTGGGCAAAGGCCAGGGATGCTGCAAAAAATCTTATAATGTATAAGACAGACACCTACAACAAAGAATTATCCAGCACAAAATGTTGATAGTGCCAATGTTGAGAAATCTCAGGATAAATGTCCCCTAATAGTACCAAGAAAACTTAACTGAGTTCTAATCACTACCACACAAAATCATATTACCGTCATTGGTAGGCAGTTTACCTGTAACATGCACTGAGATACCACTCCCTCTGGAATTTCAGGGAAACGTTGTCGGAGATCATGGAGAACCTGAATATCAAGCTGTGGACTGCTTTGCGCCATGCCAGAGCAAATGGTGGTCAAGTTTCTCTTAGAAAATGGATGTTAACCAGCCTTCCAGAAGTAGTGATCTTCCAACACCATAGTCATTTTCTATGAACAGAAAATAAAGTATGTTGAAGTCTAATTATATATTTTACTTTAATCAGATACCATAGATAAATTAAAGCCTAAAGTAAGTACAGCTAATGACGAGGTTGGAAAATTGACAAATTTGGCTTAGACAGTGACTATAAAAGACTCGGGACCAGCAGTTAGCGTAATGGCTATGTCACTGGACTCCCACATAGTCGACCGCAGTTGGAGTCCCAGACCCGGTGGCTTAAACTCACGCCGGGCGCTTGTGTGTGCATGCTCAAGATCCCAAGAGGAGAATGGAGGAGAAGGGATTGCGGCGTGGCCATCCCCCCTGGGGGGTGATTTCTCGCTTTCTATCTCTGTCTCTCTCTGTCTGGCGAGTGCACTCGACCTACAGCAAAAATCTCTCAAAAAAAAAAACAAACAAACAAACAAACAAAAACTATAATACTATAATATAGCCCATTGTTGTTTTTCTTTTCTTTCTTTCTTTTTTTTTTTAGCCAAAAAGCCAAAACAAAGAACCAAAACCTGTCAGGTCTATTTTAATGCTTAAAAAAGAATAAAAACAACAGCTATATTAAAAATACAGGGAATAGTAGTCACTAAGAATCCACAGGGGATTGGTTCCACGAACCTCCACAAACATAAAAATCTGTGTGTGTTTAAGCCCCTTACAGTAGATATAGCTGAAATTCGATCTGCAATAGGTTGAATCTGTGGATGTGGAACCCATGGATACAAAAGGTCAACTGTATAATTTGGCAACTGTTATTTTTCTAGCCTTGAGAAATCCTACTTTTCTATAATCACTTATGTTTTGCTAAGAGCTACAACATCCCTCCTCTGAAGAAGAGTAATCATTCTGAAGTCCAGAATAATAATAAAAAATAATAAAATAATAATAATAAAATAAGGATTTGACAGTAACATTGCAAGGTATACTGTCCTGTATGCCTTATATTCTCCCTGTACTTTGAACCCCAAAGGTTTGAATTTAAAACCCAAGTACAGAAAATCCAAAGTATATACAAAACAGCTGGGTAAATAAAAGTGAAAATGTATAATCCTTTGTTTTCAAAGATGCTGCTGGTGGCTCATCACCAGCCAGGCCAACCTAGGCAGGGTTTTACCTAGTGCCTGTACCACTAGGATTTGGGGATACAGTTTGATCAAACAAAACTGACCCCAATCTCCCCCCCCCTACTCAGGTAACTATAGGCAACTAGTGAAACAGTAATACATCATAAATCAACTGGCAACAGCAAGAGTCAACTAACTGATCTACTTACACTATATTTATCTTTTTTTTACTTTAGGTTTTTGCCATAGTAAATTCTACTTTAGTTTCCTTTTTAATTGTGTAATTAAATATAAGCCAGTAGTAAAGTAAAAAAAAAAAAAAAAGTAAAAACAAAAAAAAAAAAAGCAATGCATTCAGTAGACAGCGAGAGAGAGAGAAAGACAGAGAGAGGGAAAGTGATAAGTCACCCGCCCCCCAGGGGGTATGGCCATGCCACAATCCCTTCTCCTCCATTCTCCTCTTGGGATTTTGGACACACACACATACATGCGTGCCTGACATGATTTTCAAGCTGCTGGGTCTGGAACTCAAACCATAGTCACTCGCATGAGAGTCCAGCACCTTAGCTACCACACTACCTACTGGCCCCTATATTTACCATTTTAAAGGTGGAAAAAATGTGCAATGTATTGCTTACAATCTCATATTTCTGCTATGTTCACTAACTATTCAATAGATAGTCAAATATCTTTTTAAAAATTGTTATTGTCAAAGAGTGCATGCAATCTTCACAGGGAAAGTGAGAAAGCACTCCCTAGAGGGGCAAGGTCACACCACAATTCCTTCTCCCCCATATCTCCATCCTATCAGGGTTTTGGGTATGCATGTACACCAGCATGGTGTGTTTTTTCAGATTCAAACCATGTGGGATCCAGCTCCCTTAACCACTAGGTATGGGGCTAATCTCTACATAGTCAAATATCTTAAAGAATAAGAAGCAAACATTTGCATTTTCATGGGACACAGGAAAACCGTAATTATAAATGTCTAAAATCACATATAAGAGAGGTTCATCTTACACTAAATCTACTTCTTGCAAATAGGCCTCAAAACTTTAAATCACATCATTATTGTGGCAATGTAGATAGCTACAGAGAATATATTTAAAATAAAAAAAATGTGAAAAATATTACTTTTGCTGGCTTATATTTAAGTACACAATTAAAAAGTAAATGCCATATAATCTCAAATTTGGCTTTTGTTATAAACAGGGAATTTCAATTTGCAATGCAATCTGTTGACCTTTGCTAGGCATCTCTCTCTTTTCCTCCTAAGCCAAAGGCTGTCAGAGTTACACATACGCTTTGTGTCTACAAGGTAGCAATAAAGCCCTTATGTATAAGACCCTGCCTAGCCACAAGTAAAAACACTCAAAGAGTTATTAAGGATTGCTTTAATGACATCCAGACATCAACATGGAAGATGCCTAAAGAACATGACAAAAAATTAAAATGTGACAGGATGGTGGAGGGTCTTCTCATCAGTGTAGGAGGAGATGCAGGGCAGCAAGATTCAGAGGCATCAATTCCAACATGTACAGGGTCAGTAGGACTTGGAGACGTGTGGAGAAGCCACACCACAGTCAAATTTTCTAAGATGCAAATTCAGTCATGTCCACCTCACTCTCTGCACTCCAACCAAACAGAACCACGTGTTGTCCTGTGCATGGATGTCCCGTGTCATATCTTTCAGGGAACGAGCTCATGATCATCCTTCTGTCAGATGGACTCAATCTCTCCCTCCCTCCCACATCTCTAAGTCCTATAGACCCTGTCCATGTTGGGATTGGTGGCATCTCCTCTAAGAAGACTCCCACTGACGCCCCCAAGTCTTGCTGCCCTGTACCTCTTCTTGCACTGGTGAAAAGAACTTCCACCACACTGCCACAGCAGGCTGCGCTTGCCTTCACAGAAACACCAAATGCTCTATACTGAAATCCCTTGTGTACCTGAAGTCCTCATATGTAAAACTCTAGCTCCACCTGGAACACGTTGTTATACCAGAGTGGGGACATACTCAAAAAGTGATGTGTGTGTCATAAGGACCCAGTAGTCAGCATGAAGAGATCCCCACAGGTCAAATCTGTGACAATTTCAACAATAATAAGGATAGTAATGAATTACAAGGCTGTAAAGAAAGGGGAATCCATGAGTCAATACCTATGATAAAATAGTTAAATACAGGCATGCATAAGCCGGGGAGAAGGGAAAGTCCCTGCTTGCAGCACAATTCAACTGGTAAATGGGTAGGGAGTGTGCTGGAACTAGACAAATCATCATTTTATGGTCATCATAGTACAAATTGTTTCAAGCAAGCATCATCAATGGATGCTAAATAAGGGAGAACTTTGGATGAAGAATAGGATACATGCATAGTCTTACAAGTATCTCCCCAAAGCCTATTAGTTGCAAGGGGGAAATTTTCAATTATACAGTGGATAAACTGAACAACACCTTGACTGAATGATGAAAATGAACAGCACCAATGAGAGCCCACTGGACAGTGTGCACCTCCACATGTGATATCCCAAGGACACATTGCTTTATAGTATTCCAGTCAGGAATGCAGAGCTGTAAACTACTCACGAGTTAACAGACAACCCCCAGTGAGAAATATTACATTAAAAACAAAGAAACAAGGGAGGCCAGCCCCATTGCCTAGTGGTTAAGGAAGCCAGATCCCATATGGCCAACTGCAGTTTGAGTTCTGGCCCTGGTAACTTGAAAAACATGCCACAAGCATGTGTGTGTGCATGCCCAAAATTCTGATGGGATGGAGGAAAGAAGGGACTGCAGTGTGACCACATCCCACTAAGGGATGCTTTCTACCTCCACTCCATCCCTCTCTCTTCTTGCAAGCATACATGCACCCTTTGTCAATAAAAATAAGGGGGTGGGATTGAAGGAGATGACATCTTTAAAATGTCAAAGTCATAAAACACAAAGGCTAGAAAAGTGTCCCAGGTTAAAGGAGAAAGACCCATGACAACTAAATATAATACCTAATCCTAGATTGGATTCATACTAAAGAAAAAACAAATGTTGTTGGGACCAGCAATTAGCGTAATGGCTATGTCACTGGACTCCCATGCAGTTGACTGTGGTTTGAGTCCCAGACCCGGTGGCTTAAACTCATGCCAGGCACGTGTGCGTGCATGCCCAAGATCCCAAGAGGAGAATGGAGGAGAAGGGATTGCAGCGTGGTCATCCCCCCTGGGGGGTGATTTCTCACTTTCTGTCTCTCTGTCTCTCTCTGTCTGGTGAGCGCACACACCCTATAGCAAACCCCCCCCACACAAAAAAGAGAATAAACAAATGTTGTAAAATTGGAAACAGAAGATGACCAACTAGAGATACCCAGTATACCTCCTCTCCACACAGAAGACCAAAGCAACTGATAATTCCACTTCAGTAAGTGGAATGAGGAGGAACACTGAAATATGGCAGGCATGTAATGAGAAACCTCTGAGGCCTGGTGGCTTGAGATTGAGACAGAGAGGGTGCCCAAGCACTGGGCTGGGACCGACCTGCAACTAAGGGGGAAGCTCCTCACTAAGGAGAGAAGGAAAGCAAAATTCGTCCACAGTCTCTTCCCATAGCCATCTCCGAGACCTGAAGTCCTGGATACAGAGAGCCACAAAGTCATAACAGAACTCAAACATTATGTAGGAAACTGCTCAGAGTCCACAAGGGAGACCAATCCCAGCAAAGGAATACATTCTGGATACTTCCCCTGCTCTTGGGACCCAAGTTCTGCAGGCATGGAACCATTTGGGAAGCACAGCCACAGCTAAAGTGCATCCTGCTTTGGGATCAACAGACCCTGAACCTCCGCATCCCTGAGTCCCTGCTGCTGTCCCATTTCCACGCAGAGAGTGGCAGAGGTAGGAGAGCAGCTAACTCCAGTGATGCAGCAGTGACCCTGTTTTCTA